TAAGCTCTCCTGTCTTCTCATGATGTGGCCAAAATACTTCCTCTTTGCCTCTACTATCCTTCCCTCCAATGAGTAGTCGGGCTTTATTTCCTGAAGTATGGACTGGCTGGATCTTCTGGCGGTCCAAGGAACTCTCAGAACTTTCCTCCAACACCACAGTTCAAAGGCATCTATCTTCCTTCGATCGGCCCTAAACGGTCTTGGCCCAACCTACCTGTCTGAAAACATCTCCTCCTATGAACCAGCTAGAACGTTAATATCATCTGGGGAGGCCCTGCTCTCAATCCCACCTGCGTCACAAATACGTTTGGTGGGAACGAGAGACAGGACCTTCTCAGTGGTGGCCCCTCGACTATGGAACGCCCTTCCTGGAGACATTAGATTGGCCCCTTCTTTGTTAGCATTTCGTAGGAAAGTTGTTCGAGCAGGCGTTCAAAAGGGCAGTGTAACAAATATAGGAACATGGAACGACTGGATGATGAGATTGGATCCTGATTCTAACTAAGAGACGCTAACGAGTTATGTTGTATTGACTTTGTAATGATCGTATATTTATGCCATTTTTAAAAATTGTTTAAATTGTTTTTGTGATGTTGAGCATTGAATTTTTGCTACTGTAAACCGCTTTGAGTCGCACGAAGGGCTAAGAAAAGCGGTATATAAAAGTAAATAAATAAATAAATACCGCCGACTCTTATTTATTCACTAGCTTGGGGACCTGGTAATTTGAGAAAGGCATTGTGTGCCAAGGTTGGTCTTTATCAGTTATTTATGTGGCTCGCAGTGCTCTCAGGAAGTTAGTGAAGGTACTGCGAGTCCCATTGTCCATGGTCCATTGTCCTCGAAAGAGCACCAGGATGTAGAGTGGGTCATGGGGGCTCTGTGTGCCAAGTTTGGTCTTGATCAGTCATTGGATGAGTATCACAGCAGTCTCAGGAAGCGAGTGGAGGTACTTCAAGTCCCATCATCCATGGTCCATCCTCCTCGAAACTGCACAAGGATGTAGAGTGGGTCATGGGGGCTCTGTGTGCCAAGTTTGATCTTGATCAGTCATTGGATGAGGGTTGCAGCAGTCTCGGGAAGTGAGTGGATGTACTGCAAGTCCCATCATCCATGACCCACCCTCCTTCAAACAGCAGTAGGATGTAGAGTGAGTCATGGGGGCTCTGTGTGCCAAGTTTGGTCTTTATCGGTCTTTGTTGCGGGCCACAGAGGTCTGTGGGAACAAAAGGGTGAAAAGGTACTACAAATCCCATCATCCATTGTCCATCCTCCCCCAACCCTCACCAGGATGTAAAGAGGGTCATGGGGATTATGTGTGCCAAGTTTGGTCTTGATTGGTCATTGGATGAGGGTTGCAACGGTCTCAGGAAGTGAGTGGAGGTACTTCAAGTCCCATAATCCATGGTCAGCCCTCCTTCAAGCTACAGTAGAATGTAGAGTGGGTCATGGGGGCACTGCCTGCCAAGTTTGGTCTTTATCGGGCATGGTCGGGCATCCGGACAACGTGGCCGGTCCAGCGAAGTTGATGGCGGAGGACCATCACTTCAGTGCTGGTGGTCTTTGCTTCTTCCAGCACGCTGACATTTGTCTGCTTGTCTTCCCAAGAGATTTGCAGGATTTTCCGGAGGCAGCGCTGATGGAATCGTTCTAGGAGTTGCATGTGACGTCTGTAGACAGTCCACGTTTCACAGGCATATAGCAGGGTTAGGAGGACAATCTATATATATAAATTTGTTAGGGGCATCCAACGAGGAAACAAAACTCAAAAATCCCCCAACGAAACTTAACCAAAATTCCCATGCCCATAACACAACCCACAAGGTACAAACATATCTACTCAAAATGAAAAACAACACAACAACACACTCACAAAACGGCAAAAGGATAAAACTCTAAAAAAACCAACGAAACTTAACCAAAATTCCCATGCTCATAACACAACCCACAAGGTACAAACATATTACTCAAAATGAAAAACAACACAACATCACACTCAAAACGGCAAAAAAACAAAACTCAAAAAAACCCCAACGAAACTTAACCAAATTCCCATGCCCATAACACAACCCACAAGGTACAAACGTATCTACTCTAAATGGAAAACAACACAACAACACACTCACAAAACGGCAAAACAACTGAGCATGCGCATTGGCGCCCAGCCG